ATTATTTTCTTTGGATCACTGGAGTGCAGCACTAAAAACTCTAAATTTCAATTTTTGGTTTCTTTCTCAAAATAGAACTCATTATTACATCCAGAGTTTTATGAGTCTCTTTAGGAAGATAAGGACAGCTCTCATCCTATCACTATGAGGGAAATAATAAGTGAAGGTACTCTGCGGCCTGCATCTCCCATACCTAACTTCCTTCCTTTGCCCAAATTCATAAAGGTTTGATGGTACGATATTGGATGAAAAGAGGAGGATAAAAGTGCATGACAGGAAAGTTTATGTCACCAGCTGGCTTAATGAAAGATGCTTGGGAATTGATCCTCTAAATATTTTTGAGTTTTTAATGTATAACCAAAAATAAAAAAATGTGGTATTTATTGGCATGTTTCATCAGTTAAATTTAAAACTTTATTGTCAGGGCTCTTAACTGAAGTAATTTAAAACTTGGCCCACACTTGCATGGATTAATAAAGGTCGAGTGTTGTCTTTTGTGTTGCCCACTAGACCCTCCAAAGTGACCCTGCATGAAGAAGGGAATAAGCCCAAAATGGCAGGATCAATGCTGGGCATCAAATCACAACAGGACAAATCACAGTATTTGAGGAGGCTGAGCATAGGCTTGATCTGAGCTGAATCTGATAGGTGAAGCTTGTCGGCAATGGCTGGATGCAGTGGCTCGTGCCTGGAATCCTGGCATTTTGGGAGGCCAGAGTAGAGGGTCACTTGAGACCAGCAGTTCAAGATCAGCCTGGGCAACGTAGTGAGCCTCTGTCTTTACAAAAAATGTAAAACATTAGCCAGGTGCAGAGCCATGTGCCTGTACTTCCAGCTACTTAAGAGGCTGAGATGGGTAGATTGCTTGATCTCACGAGTTTTAGGCTATGGTGAGCCATGATTGCAACACCCACTTAGGCCTGGTGGAAGAGCAAGACCCTATCTCAGGAAAAAAAAAAAAAAAAAGATTTGCTAGCAAGAGTTTCTGGAGCAGAGTGAGGCAAACTATACTTGGCTAGACAAGGCTCTAGCCAAGTGTGGGGGTAGAGTAGGATGGGTTCAGAGAACAGATTCTAGTTCCCTTGAGAAGGAAATGTAAGAATCACAAAGAGATTAGGGTAGCGTTCTAGTACCAGAAAGAAAAACCACATTAAGAAACCAAAGCAAGAGCCAAGTCATAAGCAACGTATACCACTGGTTGAAGGGGAAAGTCTGCAGCCAGATAAGCCTGAGAATGCCTGGCGGCCTACCCAAGGTACCACAGACCCCTGCCACAGATGGGAAAGGGGTATTTAATAAGTATATGAGGCTGGTTCATGGAGGTATGAGCAACAGGGCTGCCTCATTCTACAACTCCAAGAGCATTTGAAGGGCAGCCCTTGCGACTACGCAGTAGGGATTGGGGAGGGACTCACAGTGAATATTGTATGGAGTTGTCCCATGCATTTGCCTTGAGTGGGAGAAATTTAGTTTGCACATTTAAAGTCTTTGGAACCTTTAGTGTGGTGCAGATGGAGCAGAGATCACTGACAGCAAATTTCTTTGTATTTGTGCACATTTGAAATGTAGATTTAGAAATAATTCTAAATGTCTTGCTGCAAGTTAAGCATAGCATATTTGCAGTAAGCATAGTGGTGAGGGAAGCATTTCACTTGAAAGCAAATTTTACTTGTCAGAGGCAAGAATCATGTGATTTTTGATACTAAGTGCTTTGATTCTTATTTTCAGATTTATTTGTACACGTTTCTCACATGAGCCTGGAAAATGTTACACAGGGAGATCAACAACCAGCTAAACTGTGAGGCCAAGCAGGAACTGAAAATTGCCAGAGACTGCAATGTCTGGCTAATGGAACGCATTTATTTCCCTCCATTGCTGCATCTTCAAGGCATGCCTGTCAGTCACTCCTCACAACGATAAACTACTATTTTATTCTGGTGTCTGCACTCCCCTTCCCTCAGATGGGAATGATAAACTATAATCTGAAAAGTTGCAAAGGTTTGCACAGAAAATAATTCTCACTCATTTTCTTCTAGCCCAGCTATGATTGATTGAGTTCAGTCATGATGACACAAAGCTGGAGCTGTGATCACTCAATATCCCTTCATCAGAGAAAATAAATCAAAGGGAATAGCGCCATGTGGCCGGGAAGTGAGGTATCCCAGAGCGATTTCTGTGGCAGGCTGGGACAGTAAGAGTCTCCTACAGAGGCTGAGTCTCTCATTTTTATATTTATGATCAGGTTAGCTCCTTTTCAAAGATGTACTGTGACACTCACAAGGGGAGAGCCCATGTTACCTGCCTCAGCTAAATATGCCGACAGTGAAAAGGGTTAGGAACAGACCTTCCCCTCTTTTTTCCCTGAGTGAACTGAAAAGCACTTTGAAAATATTTTTAGTGTCTTTTAACATTTCTGGGCTCACTGCTGGATAGTGTTTCTAGAAGCCAAGTAGGGATATAGAAGAGTCACTCTCAAAAGCAAGCTGAGTTGAGTAAAACTCATGATCTAAATACTCTGTTCTAGGTTGGGTGATTGAGGCAGGGTGGGATGACAGTGTATCCTAGTTACCAGAAACCTTGGACTCTCCTTTGAGGCCTTTCCCTCCCTCTGTACCCTCTCCAATCCATCACCAGGCCCTATTGATATTACCTCCTAAATGTCTCAAGTCTATACACTTGTTTCTATCTCAATCTCTAATACTTGACCTTCACCTCTCACCAGGACCCCCTGCCACCACCAAGCTGTCCTTACTCCCATTCCTGTGCTTTCATAGTCCTTTCCCCACTTGGCGGCTAGGGAGCTGTTTTCATAATGCCAGTTAAGTTATAACACCGTCTTAATAAAATTCCTTCACTGGCTCACTTTGCACTTCAATGAAATCCTAATTCTTGACTGGGGCCTTCAAGGTCCTACATTATCTGACTTCTCTCTCCCTCTGTTTTTACTTCCTGCAACTCACTGATGATCCTCCAAACACACCTATGTCCATCTTGTTCCTTCTACTCTGCACTTGCTGTCCTCTCTTCATAGAAGGTGCTTCCTTCCAACCTTGGCTTCTTTGTGCCATTCAGATAATCAGATTAATGTCCACTCCACAGAACATCCTTCCTAGCCACCATTAGATTTTCATTCTCTTCCAAATCAGTCACATCTTATAGATTAACCATTCATCCATTAATTGTTCATCTTCAACAGACTGAGGGATCTCTGAGAAAAAGTATCTCACCCTTGTGTCTAGTAATGACTGGCACTTAGTAGGCACTCAGTAGTGAAGGAATGACATTCTGGCTCTGATTTCCAGCCCTGAGTTGCTGAGTTGTTCTAGCTATTAGGCTACCCTGTTCCCAGCATTACATTATCTGGATTTCCTCTGGCTCAAGGCACTACAAGAGACAATTTGATATTGTACTCCTCTTCTGATCTATGCTGCTTTGACTGAGTTCTGCTTATGAGAGTGGGCTTAGCCCATGACTGACCAGGAATACCAATGACTGTTATCCAGGTTCACTAGCAAACAGTGGGAAGGGATAATATGATAGATAAAAGAACACCACAAACTCACTAGCCCTCTTCTCCAGTATGTGTCTGGGAATATATATCCACTTGAATCTGGTTCTGTGAATGCTTTGGCTGATGGAATACATTGAGAATAACACTGTGCCAGACCTGAGCCTAGGACTTAAGACATTAGTTGCTTTTATTTTTGGCCTCCAGAAACACACTCTCTTAGAGCCCTGAGCCACATGGAAGAAATTCAGCTATCTTGCAAAGAGGCCATGTGGAGAAGCCTTGAAACCGCAGGACAGTAAGAGCGCCCTAGCTGAGCCCAGGTGTCAGCAGACTCAACTAAGCTGTTAGACACATAAAAGAATGCTTATTGGACCCCCACAAATCTGAACATCCACCAGCTGAAAGTAACTTGAATATTGTATTCATTGATTGAGTGGCCCCAATCAATGCCATGAGGCAGAAGAATTGCCAACCTAAGCCCTGGCCAAATTTCTAACCTATAGGTTTTGAACTTAATGAATTGACTATTGTTTTACGACGTTAAATTTTGGGTGGTTTGTTAAATGATGGTACATGACAGGACAAGCATGTAGACTGATTTTTGAACTTCAAAGAAGGTATGACCCTCTACTTGCTTCCTACCTTGAAAGAAATGGTTGTAACTGCCTAGCAATATGATATGCAACAAAACCACAAACAACACTTGGGAATGAAGGGTGGGTGAGAAGATGGCTTCACAGGTGCAGAAGCAGATTCCTGTTTTTTAGGATGGTTGATCTAAGCCACAATAATATCAAGGATATCTCATCAGGACAGTGCATAAATAAGAAATACCATTATAATAACCAGTTAAATTCCAGTCCAGTTTTCCTCCAGACCTAGCTGATAAGCCTATACAGTGTGTGATGTGGTAATGATAGGTGTACTTTATCAGATGCTAATAACAGCATATGATCATGATTTCTAAGTTTATTTGAGGATGCACAACATTCTCAGAGATTAGTCTTAAAAGGCTTTTTGGCACCCTCTACCAACACATCCACCAAATCCACTAACAGCAAATAAGAGAAAATCTCAGCAATTTTTTTTTCTGCAGTCGTCTTTCTTGATACTGTCTAAACCTAAAATGCACTAGAATATATTTCTGTTTGTTTTAATCACTGCTATGTTCTCAGTACCTAGAACAGGTCCTAGAACATAGTAGGTAATAAATATTGCAGATGAAATAAATTGTTGCATTAGAAAAAAGTAAGACACAATTCTGGGCAGAGGTGGTCACTCTCTAGAGGTATCAGACTACCAGCATCTCTTCAAGGCCTCAGGCATCCCCAAGTATGGTTCAGAAGATTATCACAAAACACTTTATTTAAAAAGTGTTGAAGTATATTTTATAACATTTAAGAAAAAAGAATGAAGAATAACATAAATAACACCCATGTACTACCACCTGGCTTAAGAGCCAGTATATTGCCAACAATATTCAATTTACCTTGTGTGGCTGTCCCTGGGTGCCTTCTCCATCCTGCCCCTGAAATATAATGATTAGACTTAATTTAGTTTTTATCAATTTCATACATTTCTTTATAATTTTATTATATGTATATGTATCTTTAAGCACCAGTAGTGTGTTGCATGCTTTAAATCGTAGGTGTTATTTTACTGCGTAAGTTCTTCTGTAATTTGCTCTAGTTTATTATTTTTAAAATTATACTTTAAGTTCTGAGGTACATGTGCAGAATGTGCAGGTTTGTTACATAGGTATACACATGCCATGTGTATCTATCATCCCGTCATCTACATTAGGTATTTCTCCTAATGCTATCTCTCCCCTAGCCTCCTACCCCCTGACAGGCCCTAGTATGTGATGTTCCCCTCTCTGTGTCTATGTGTTCTCATTGTTCAATGTGTACTTATGTGTGAGAACATGCAGTGTTTGGCTTTCTGTTATTGCGTTAGTTTGCTAAGAATGATGGTTTCCAGCTTCATACATGTCCCTGCAAAGGACATTAACTCATCCTTTTTTATGGCTGCATAGTATTCCATGGTGTATATGTGCCACATTTTCTTTATCCAGTCTATAATTGAGGGGCATCTGGGTTGGTTCCAAGTCTTTGCTATTGTGAATAGTGCTACAATAAACATATGTGTGCATGTGTCTTTATAATATAATGATTTATACTCCTTTGGATATATACACAGTAATGGGATTGCTGGGTCAAATGGTATTTCTATTTCTAATCCTTGAGGAATTGCCACACTGTCTTCCACAATGATTGAACTAATTTACACACCCACCAACAGTGTAAAAGCGTTCCTATTTCTCCATATCCTCTCCAGCATCTGTTGTCTCCTGACTTTTTATGATCGCCATTCTAACTGGTCTGAGATGGTATCTCAGTGTGGTTTTGATCTGCATTTCTTTAATGACTAGTGACAATGAATTTACTCTAGTTTATATTTAAGTGCACATCTTTCAGAAATTCTATACACATACATGTGCACACGTATATGCAGACCTACTATATATGCTGCTTTGTGACCTCATTTTTTCTTTACAGTTTTTCATCCTAAGACATCTCACAAATACAAAAAGTAATATAAAAAAACCCAAGTTGGGCAAAACTTAAGATTAAACATTGTACCCTATGTCTTCCCTTCCTCCATTGCATTCAGCTCCTCCCCACGTAGACGTTTATGTTTTCTATCCCCCCGAAATATCTAGTATTTGTTTATATTTTTTACAACTTCATATTGCATTCTGTTCTGAAAAGAAGAGGTGAAATTATGACTTTTGAGGTTCTGGGCTTCCTATAGGGGTGTCAGTTCCAGCTCCCAACCTGGTGAGTGCCATTGCACCATTACTTGGTTTCAGGTCCCCTCCTGCCCCCTCCCACTCACTCCCCACCATCCCACAACTTCATTACACCTCTACTCTAGTCTCTTCGTTCTTCAGATTCCTTCAGGGCACACCGTGGGTATCACCACCACTCATATTTTTCTCCTTTATTTTGACATTTGTGGATTTTCCTGTTTTATTATGAAATCAATCATCTATGCCTTTTTTTTTTTTTTGAGACAGAGTCTCACTCTTTCTTCCAGGCTGAAGTGCAGTGGCTCAATCATGGCTCACTGTGGCCTTGAATTCCCAAGCTCAAGCTATCCTCCCACCTCAGCTCTGGAGTAGCTGGAATTACAGGCACATGCCACCACATGCCAGCTAGTTTTTTTTTTTTTTTTTTTTCAGTGACAGGGTCTCCATATATTTTCCCAGCTGGTCTCCTACCTCAGACTCCCAAAGTGCTAGTGTATAGAGCACCCTTGACATAAGTAACTCCATCTCAGATTCCATCTTCTATTTCCAAAGGCACTTTGCCAACAGGGACGATCAATAAAGACTGCACCCAGCCAGATAAGGAAATAACCAAGCATACTCTTTCAATATCAGTCCTCACCAGAGGACTCTGTGGTCATAAAAAGAGCAGGACTTCAGCAGCTCCTAACACCCATCGCTGCTGTCACTTGTGATAAGCACCTGGCATCTGCAGCCGAAGGCTCTGCCCACAACAAAGACTCCTCCTCGCAAGAATGACAGATCACCTGGGCTAGACCAGGATATTCTTTTTATCTACATCACTCTTGCTTGACTGGTTCAATAATCCTTTTTCCTATCTGCTTAATGTTAAATGTTTGTTGTGAAACATTTAGTCTATAACATTTATATACTGAGTAAGTATACTATTATGTATGGTTTGCAACATTGACTGACTTGTGGAGTGACTTAAGCCCATGGCTCTGACTACTGAGTGAACAGGAAGTACTAGGAAGAACTGGCTCCTTGGAAACTCCATGAAGCTCTTGTCTTTTGTAATTAAAATAGCATTAATAAAAGTCTGACATTGTGGAAAGACAGACGTCTGTGGACCTGGTTATCTCTGATTTGCATCCTTCACAATAGCTGGGATTACAGGCATGAGCTACCATACGTGGCCTCATCTACGCATTTTAAAAGATGTTTATTCTACCATATGCAGATTTTCTAGGTGTAGCAGGGGAGATTTCAGGATAAGAAATCTGCCAAATTTCTGGAAGTAAAAGTCTTGAAAGTTTCTAGTAATTTCCCATAAGAATCTCACAATTTAAATAGCTGGCAGATATTTATAAAACATCTGCTAGATTTTATTAGGGGTATGTCAATTTAATCTAAACAACTCACTGTGTTTCAGTGTTAACGTGTTTATATAATAATTTGTTTTCATAGCTATATTTTATAGTTATTAGAGAATAACAATACATGTCTGATAGGTTAAGAAAAAACCCAACAGACTTTTCCTTTATTATAATAAAAATGAAGGGAATTCTTTCATAGGAATTAGAATAAAAATGAAAGGAATTCTTTCATAGCAGAGTAGTAAAGAAAAGGAGAGGAAGGTATTTCAGGGACAATCTCCAAACTGGTTAGAACAAGTTTAGTTAGAAAGAACATTTTGAGTTGGATTGACTAACTCAGATGTGAGGGTGCAAAAAAGGTTTTGGTGTGACCATACAAGCAAGTATAACCATTAGTTATGACCAGTGGAAAAACGGAACTCTGTAAATTTGGGAAGCTCAGTTCTAGAACTACACACCAAATATCAAGTAGATATTATTTCATCTGAGGTTCATATTTTGTGGTTATGATTCCTTAGGTGTTTTTATTTTGTGCTGGTTCTCTTTTTATATTTGAAATTTATCTCTGATTTAGTAGATATCCTGACAAGTTTCTGACTGCTCCTCCCCATGTTCTGGCCTCTTGCTGCTTCAGCTCCTGGAGACTCATGCATTTCCACAATGGTTTCTTACCTCTGACTTGCAGTTGAGTTCAGTCAATGACAGGCACTAGGATGGGTAGAAGGAAATGAGTTGCATATGAGATGAATGAGTATGAATACTTGTTTCCCCAGCATGCTCCCTGACAGGTCATCTTGGGTTATCTGTCTCTCTACTCAAGGTTGTGGCTCCTGCCAGGCAACATTTCCATACAGTTTCCATCTCCTGGTTATGGTAACTCTTGCCACTTCAGGCTTGAATGGTCCCCATACTCCTTGCTACTAGCTCCACACACCATTGACACTGCCTACCTCTTTATTAAACTCTCTTCAAATTATTTAACTTGATTGTTACGTCCAATTCATGCTGGCTAATACAGGTGGATAATTTTGGTGTGAAATGAGGCAAGGATATTGAAAGCGAACAACCCTGCTGATATGGTCAGATATTTTTTTAAAAAGATTGCTCTGGCTGTAATAAAAAACAATTGTAAGAAAGCCAGGATGGATGTGGGTAGATCTATTAGGAAATTTTATAAGTTGCCCTGGAGAGACTAATACTATTTGTCATGGATTTAGATGAGGAGATGATGATGATTACTCTCAGGTTTCCAGCTTGCATACCTGGAAAACATGGCAGCCATAACATGGAGAACACTGGAACAAACCAGGTTTTCCAAGTACAGGCAAGCAAGCACAGGCAGGAGCTCATTTATTTTGATTCTGAATGTGTTTAGTGAAAGGAGTCTTTGGGACATCCAAAATGAGGGCAAGGGGCCAGCTGGACTGTATGGGTCTGGGAAGCTTGGAAGATGTAAATTTGTGAGACATGTACAGAGATCAGATGGCCTGAGGACAGAGTAAGGAGTGAAAAGAAGAGAGGGCTAGGAATGAAACTTGAGGAATCCCATCATATAATGACTAGTGTGAGGCAAGGTGTACAAATGAAACTGAGAAGGACTAGCCAGAGAGCAAAAAGGAATTCAGCTATCAAAATAGCTCTGAGTCTAATACAAATATTGGACAGACTAGTCAGTTTTTCCAACATTCAGATCCATCTCACCTGATGATGACAGCCAATGGTTGCAAAGTCTCACTAGGTTTCTCTCAAACCTTGGGAAGCCACAGAGACAGGTGGGTAGGTCAGGGTTTAGTAATACTGGCTCAGAGCCAGATAACCTGGGTTTGCATACTAATTTCATCTTCTGTCATCTAAATGACCTTGGGCAAGTTGCTTAACCTGTGTTATCCATAAAATGGAGATAAATTTACTTCCATCTTAAGGCATTGTGAAAATTAGACAAAAATAAAGTATATAAAGTCTATAGCACAGTGTATGACACACAGTAAATTTTGGATGTTATTCTTACTTTTCATGAAAAGATTAGGGAATAATACCAGGAAAGCAAAACAAAACAAAAGGTAAAAGAAAGAGAGATGAAATTTAGTGATAGAAAGCCCAGCCACACATTTCAGTAGGGTAGAGAGACTGGGGAATGAGGAAAAGCAGATGACAATGGCAAGTAGCTCTAATCTACCCCTGCCAGCTTCCATACCCTTTCCTGGTTTTAGTACTGTTAAGTCCTGACAAACCCCTCAATCTGGGGAGATTTTAGATAGTTGGTTACTCTACTGATCTCTCACTCTGATACTGAAGAAAAAAAACCAACACTTCCCCCAACCAGTTTGACACCTGGGGTTATAACTAACTTGCTGTTTATGAACAGAGAAGAGAGGATCCCTAAAGGGTATGAACTAAGGGGGTACCAAAAACCTTTTGTCTCTAGTCACAGTGTTCCTCATTTTCAGCCCAATTTCTACTCGTATTCCATTGGTTGATCCTGCCTGAAATTCTGAACTGGCTGACCCTGGGCTGGGGCCACCTGATGCTTCCTTGCAATATCGATGCAGCCTCAGAGAAACAAGAAAGCTCTTAGCAGGCACTAACATTTTACCTCAATATAATTTATCAAATTTGTCAGTTCCCTGGCAGACGCTGGTGGAAATGGACTAAAATTATGTAAATTTTAGTGGAGTACATAGCAGGTCAAGAAAGAGTCAGATCATGGATGAAATTCCACACGCATTGATTTAGATAGGTTACCGTTGTAGAAACGTCTAGTCTTCTAGAAAAAATTTCCAATTATTTTTTTCCACTGTCCCAAGTTTCTCTCTATTTTGGGCTCTTTGGCAAATTATCGTTAGAAAACCTGACATGTTACCTCTCCTTTTTTTTAGAGATTCAATATGCAGAGTAGCACAGTAAGAGCTCTGAGAAGTCCAGCATTAAATAATCCTTTTGAATTTTCTTTAACTCATCATTTTTCCATTTTTTTTAATCATTAAGCCTTTTGCAGTAGTATCTCTCAGAACTAGTATGCTGCAGAACAGTTTTCAGGAAAAATGCTATCATTTTTGAAGAGAAAAAAGTTACCTCTGCACACTTGAGGCAAACAGATACTAAAAAAAGAAAATAACCGGATAGGAGGGTTAAAAAAAAAACTCATCTGCTTGACAATAGGGCCAAGTCTGTATTCATTCATTCATTCATCCATTCATTCCATAAATCTTTACGATGACTAAATGTGACCACTGACAATGGGGCACGCAGAGTTTCACATGTGGAGATAATAAGAAAGAGCTAGACAAAGACCACCTCACAGAAGTTTCATCCTACAGGGAGACTATAAAATTGAACCTAGGCTTTTAATCCTCTTTGAACATGTTTGTAAAATAAATCTTCAGAACACGAGGTGAGTTAAAAGTCCCTACTGGAGTTTGGATAATTACATTGCTAACTCCTGACCTTGTGGACCTAGATCTGAATCCCTAATTCTGTCAGCCCCTGCTTCAACTCCTCTCAATGTCCTTGAACCTCAGCTTTCCTCTATGGAATTATCACTCTAGATGTTAGTATGTTGTGGTATCTACAGTAGAGTAACCAGTTCCAGCCCATGACTGACAAATGCTAATCCTGACGTCCCAGATGGATGGAAGAGCCCTAGATCTTCAGGGGACAGGATGGGGTTAAAGTGGTAGTGCTGAGGGAGGTATTCAGCAGCAATTATATATATTGAATTTTTGAAATGTCATATAAATTCACATAAATTGATAAAACATTCCATTTTATTAAACAGAAGGAGGAAGAATTACTCTAAAACTCAAACATATGCTTGTCTTAAAAAGCAAGAGTTCAAGTCATGTCTATGCTACTTCATTTCATATATTTCATATTTACTTCATTTCAAGGTAGCAAATATTTCAATTATTTAGTTATATAAATCTAAACAAAGGCAAAAGGAGTTAGAAAATTAATGTTCTTTTTTTTTTTTTTGAGACAAAGTCTCGTTCTGTCACCAGGCTGGAGTGCAATGGCACGATCTCGGCTCACCGCAACCTCCACCTCCTGGATTCAAGCGATTCTCCTCCCTCAGCCTCCCAAGTAGCTGGGACTACAGGCCTGTGTCACCATGCCCAACTAATTTTGTAATTTTAGTAGAGATGGGGTCTTACCACGTTGGCCAAGATGGTCTCGATCTCCTGACCTTGTGATCTGCCCACCTTGGCCTCCTGAAGTGCTGTGATTACAGGTGTAAGCCACTGTGCCCAGCACAAAAATTAATGTTCTAATATGCACTGCTATTTGTAAGATTAAATCATATGTAAGTCTCCTGGCCAGTGGCCAAGATAATATGTCAGTTGCAAAAATGAGAGTAAAACCATCTCCAATAGCTACTCTAAAGCTGAACCAAGTTAACAGATAAAGCACTTGCCATTTAATGACATTTTTAAAACCAAATGAATTTTTCTCTTTAATTTCCTATAAGGAAAATTTCAATTAAAAATAAGTGCAATGCTAATAACTTCCAAAATGACAATAGGCTCCTTCATTTTAAATTACTAAAATATTTTTCATTATTTTATAACTTTAGGCAGTAGTGTCCTCATAAATGTTTAACAATTGGCTCTTTGAGTAGGGAAGAGGGGGTTCTGATTTGTAGCATTTGCCAATTTCCATGGTGTAAATACACTCATTCACCATGGTTGGTTTCAAGCTACCAGTGTGATATTTTTGAGCTGAAAGCTGCATATAATTAGCTTTCTTTAGTCAAGGGAAGCCAATAAGAGTGGCCTATTGCATACCATGAGAGTGGCCTACTGCATACCACGGATTAGATTTTCTTGTTCTGTGTACAGGTTTACTCAAATCCTTTTCTTACAATTAAGGGAACTGCCACCAGGTGATGAGAAATGCATGGATCCTGTGTTTCCAGAAATACAAAGAAATTCATATAATGAATCTTGAATTTTGAAGTCTAACATTAAAGAAAACCCAAATGCCAAACTATAGCTCTTTATTAGAGTCGCTAAATTATGTACAGATATTTAACATTTTTTTCTTAAGAGGTGGTATAGCATAGTGGGTAACAGAGTCAGAGTCCTAATGTTGAGTTCAGACTCTGCCCCTCTCTACCTCTGTGATTTGGGGCTATTTTATTTTTATCTCTTTGTACTATTGTTTCATTACCTGTGAATAAACAGAGCTAATTATCACATTAGCTAATGGAGTTATTGTGAGGATCAAATGAGACAGTATATATAAAGGACTTTGTAACCATGCATAGCACAGTGAGAATTTAATTGTATTAATATTATTAATGTCACCGGCTACTGCTAATGAAATACACTCATCAAGTTGTTGATTGAGGGTTGGCTCAGCTGCAAGATATGCTGGAACTTTGGCATTCTAGGGTCAGTGAAGAGGAGTGGATTTAGAGACAGCCAGAGACTCGCCTGCTGAACAACTAGGGATGGTCTCCCAACTCCACCACTTAGTCACTTTACCCCTCTATGTCTGAGTTCTCATATGTAAAACAGGCATAATAATAGTACCTAACTCATAGCATTGTAACGAAGATTAGTATATGTATATAAAGCACTTAGAATAGCACATTGGCATACAGCAAGCACTCGATGAACATTAGTTATTGTTTTTTAAGGCATAGACTGTTGAACAGGAAGTGTGCTAAAGTTGTGATTTGGCCAAAAGCACAAGTGTCATCAAGTGATAGCAGTAGACTGCAAATATTGTTACTGTCTCCTCGATATGGATTCAGGAAATGGGGCAGAACAACATATAAGGACAATTGTTCAAATTAACTCATAGGAAAAAAGAAAAATAGAAATAAGGAAATAAGTCACTGACAGAAAAAGATAATGTGATAGCTTTTTCAATAGTTTATACTAAATTGTTGTGCTACCATAGCTTAATATTTCTCTAGCTTATTCTTCACATTGTAGTAATAATTGTTTTCCAATGTCTCTTAAATCATCTCTGGAAATACGTTGCTCCTAGAAATAGCACTGTTCATTACAACCATATGGAGTCATTATGAAACATACTAATTCTTAGAAACTGGCTTAGTTATTCTAGGGTAGGACCTGGACATCTGCTTTGTTTTCAAATGGCCCAGATTATTTAAGTGTGCAGCTGGGCTGAGGACTTCTATCTTAGAAGAAGATGGTTTCAGAATTCAAATCAGTGGCCATTAAAAATCTTTTCCTCACAGCTGCTAGCTTTGAGTATTGCAGCATGATGAATAATTCCTGTGACTATCCCTTTTTCTAACACTACTGAAATCAGACTTTAATTTCTCTTTCTTTCATTAAGCAAAGGGGGAAAAAAGGAGTAAGAAAGAAGGAAAAAAAACCTTTCAACCAACATTTTTGTCTTTATTCAACCTATATTTGTTGAACATCTGCTATAGGACAAACATAGTGTTGACTTCTAATGAATAATGTAGATTTCATAGCCTGTTAAAGGAATGTGTGACCTGAAGTTCAAAGAATACCTCCTACCTGGTTAGAATTAATTTGCAGATTCTTTAGATGAAATTTTTTTCTTCAATATTTTTTATTGTGGTAAAATGCACTTATCATAAGATTTACCATCTTAATGATTTTAAGTGTATAGTGCAGTGGTATTAAGTATACTCATATTGTTTTGCAACCATTATCACTATCTCCAGATCTTTTTATTTTTTTATTTTTTGAGACTGAATCTTGCTCTATTGCCCAGGCTGGAGCACAACTACATGATTTTGGCTCACTGCAACCTCTGCCTCCTGGGTTCAAGCGATTCTCTTGCCTCACTCTCCCAAGTAGCTGGGATTACAGACATGTGCCACCATGCCCTGCTAATTTTTGTATTTTTTAGTAGAGACAGGGTTTTGCCATGTTGGCTAGGCTGATCTCCAACACCTTACCCGGGGTGATCCACCCACTTTGGCCTCACACAGTGCTGGGATTACAGGTGTGAGCCACCAGCCCAGTTTATAGAGCTTTTTTCATCTTTCAAAACTGAAACTCTATACCCATTAAATAACAATGCACTCTCTCACCTCCACTCCCAGCCCTAGGCAGTCACCATTCTACTTTCTGTATCTATCAATTTGATTCCTCTAGGTACCTCAGATAAGTAAAATCACATAGTATTTGTCTTTTTGTGACTGGCTTATTCTCCTTAGCATAATGTCCTCAAGGTTCAACCATGTTGTAGCATATACCAGAATTCCTTTCCCTTTTAAGGCTTCCCTTTTAAATATTAATAAAATATTTAAAAATATTTCATTTTATGTATATATCACATTTTGCTTATCCACTCTTCTGTTGGTGGTCACTTGAGTTGCTTTCATGTTTTAGCGGTTGTGAATATGTCTATGAAAATGAATGTACAAATATCCCTTTCAGACCTTTCCTTAGGTTTTTGACAACTTCTTTAGAGTTGGGTCTCGATCTGTTTCCCAGGCTGGAGTGATCATGGCTCACTGCATCTCCAACTCTTGGGCCCAAGGGTTCCTCCCACCCCAGCCTCTGAGTAGCTGGGGCTACAGATGCATGGCCATCACACCCAGGTAAGTTTATTTATTTTTTAGAGCTTGTTGCTCTGTTGCAGTGGCTGGTCTTGCTATGTTGTCCAGGCTGGTCTTGAACTCCTGGCTCCAGGTAATCCTTCCACCTTGGCCTCCCAAGTTTGATGGGATTACAGGCATGAGCCACTGAATCTGGCTGAAACCCTACTTTCAATTCTTGTGGATATACACTCAGAAGTAGAATTATCGGATCATACTGTCATTCTATTTTTAATTTTTGAGAAAACACTATACTGGTTTCTACATTGACTGTGCCATTTTACATTCCTATCAGCTGTGCACAGTGTTCTAATTTATCCACGTCCTCGCCAAACCTTGTTATTTTCTGTTTTATTGATAGTAGTCATCCAAATGAGTGTGAGATAGCATCACATTGTGGTTTTGATTTGCATTTGCCTAGTAATTAGGGACATTGAGCGTCTTTTCATGTGCTTGTTAATCAGTTATATATCTTCTTTTGTGAAATGTCTATTCAAGTCCCTTGCTCATTTTGAATCTGGTTGTTTTTGTTGTTGTTGAGCTTTAGGAGTTTTTCTATATATTCTGGATATTAATCCCTTATAAGATATACTATTTGTAAGTATTTCCTCCTATTCAGTAGGTTGCCTTTACACTCTGTTAATAACGTCCATCAATGCACAGAAGTTTTTTTAATTTTAGGGAAGGCTAATATTTATTTGTCTTTTGTTGCTTATGTCCTTGGTGTCATATCCAAGAAATCATTGACAAATCCAATGTTGTGAGGATTTTGCCCTATATTTTCTTTTGAGTTTTATAGTTTTAGGTCTTATATTTAACTTCTTGATCTATTTTGAGTTAATTTTTGTATATGGAGTTAGAAAAGGATCTAGCTTCATTCTTTTGCATGTGGATATCCAGTTATTCCAGCATGATTTGTTGAAAAGACTTTCCTTTCCCTCATTGAATGGGCTTGGCACCCTTGCTGAAAATCATTTGACTATGTGTATGGGTTTATTTCTGAGCTCTTTATTCTATTCCAGCAATCTATATGTCTGTCTTTATGCCAGTTATTTGGGTTAAATTTTGATAGGTGGAAGATTACTATTAGCATCAGTAGAGGATCAAAAGAAATAACGGAGCTATAGAAATCTGGGCCAAGAAAATATTTTTAGGCTGGCAACATGTGAGCCATATATTTATATAACCCAGCTTCTAGCCACCTTCATTTTGTACTGGCATCTTTTGGAGAAGAAGCAACAAAAATAGCCCAATACAACCTCTGATGTCTTCTTTTCAACATTTCTCTTTCTGCATGCCTCTGTGGTTCCTCCTTGCTTTATCTGCTTTTCTCACAATTCCAACAAGCAGGCTGACATGGAGGGAAGATTTTTTTCAGGTTTGGAGCTTACATTGGGAGGGATAAAGTAACGTTTGTCAGTCACTTATACTTTAGTGTACAATACAGAATGCTGATAATCTGGGGTACTTAGAGATCACTGAGACAGAAATAGCAGAGAGAAGCTACTTTGACATCTACTTGGCTGCAGAGTCAGTACTATAAAAACCCAGATATCTGTTCAGCATTTTTTTTAACTTATCGCTTCCTAATGGTGGAGTCAAGAGCAGGTGTTTTAGTAGAAGTTTGACTAAGGGTTCTCAGTGCTTTGGGCTGGGTTGTGAGTGCAAACAATGTGGCAAAGGATGCCAAACAGGATGATGGCAATGAAAAGCATTGCCTGCCTTTGTATTTTGCAAAGACATGGTCCTTGATCAAATTTCACTGAGATGAATTGGGTGTTATGAAATATTGAACTAGTTTCAAAAAAGGTGATGTTTGTCCCATTCTTACTTAAGTTTGCAAGACACTCTCAGCTATTCAGAGCACTCACACAGAGTATGTATTTGAATATCACCGCAGGATAATGCTATTCTTGTCCTGGGGATGATCAGAGGGTTTCAGGCTCCCGTTATTTCACATTCTGCTTGCTAAAAAGAGAGGTGAAAATCTCTCACAGCAGGAGAAGCTCTTTCCTTGTCAAAAATTCTCACATAAATCATAGTTTCTAGTTATTCTCTTAATCACTGTACCCTTGATTTTCCAATTTCATAAATTTTTGGAGTCTTAATACACAAAGGGCATGGCAGTTTAACAATAATGGTGGGCAAGAAAGGAGTCTTTGGTGTGTTTTCTGTGTAAAGCAGCTAAAAAAAAAATCCCACCTAAATGTACAGAATTAATACATTTTCTTCATGGTTCTCCAGGGTTACCACCTAAGGCAAAAATCAGAACTGAAAACACTTAGGCCAGAAGACACTGTACTTGGAGAGCTTACTTGGATTGCCTGACTTGGAGCTTTTTTGTTCCTCATTTGTGATTTTCATGGGCTACCAATATGCTATAAAGTTAGGTATTTCTCATCTGGGTTGGGTGTGAGATTTCTTATTAAACATGAAGTTATCACAGGAAGACAAAATATAATTGTACCAATCTGAGATTATGGCTGGAGTACATTTATTCAAAGAAGATTTCTTCTTTTAATAGCTATTAGTTAGGGTCTAGGTCAAAATTTCTGCATGCCTTTTAAAATTAAGGTATTTGAAAGAGACCTTTTTGATGCTGTGTGCTGAATCTTGAAATTGTTTGAGTGTTGCTGCCGAAGACTCTCAGTGCTGAACTTGAAAAGATGTTTCAATGGACAATCATTTAGAACATTTATAGGAAATGAGCATTTGAATGAATCATTGACCCAAACAAGAAAAGCTTCCACATTATTTAAAATGTATCAGAAATCCTCAAGTAATCATCAGCAAATGTGAGTTCAGTGGAACATCCCTAGATCTTTGCTCCAAGAGCAAAATGGTGAATCATCCTTCTAAGGCCCATCAAAAATTAACATTCTTTAAGGCTCCTTTCATAGCACTTACTGTAGGGTGTGTTTTACCTTATCAAAGGAGAATATGAGTAGGAGGGTGTTAACATAAGCAGTCAAGCCAAAAAAAGTCATTATTCCTTACAATTTTCTGCTCATGTATAAAATATGACTTTTTAATATTACTATCCAAGCAATCCTACTAAATAAATAACAAGAAGTAATCAAAATTAAAATAATTGTCTATGGTCTCTAACCTGTCCAAAATGATTCATATATTTGAAAGATTTGTTGAACTTGTTGCAATTAAAAATAGGTCTATGAATGCTGAAAATATTATTTTATTTCTTATCTGGGTGGTGAATATATGGGTGTCTTCACTTGTTTGTATATTACACCTCAACAAAATGTAAATATAGGTAATATAAGACATGCCCTATAATAATAAACTTGGAAAAAATATTTACAGCGCATATCATAGACCAAAGGTTAATTTTCCTAATCTATATATAACTATATATAGTTATATAGGTTATATATAAACCTCCTAAAATCAAAATGAAAAAGATCTATAACCCAAGAAAAAAATGTGCAAAGGACATGAACTTACATTATGGTTCACAGAAAAAAGAAGTACGAGAGGGTCTTAAATATATATGATAATGTGCAATCTCATTTCAAGAGAAATATAAATAATACTTTATTGAAACAGAATTTTTTGTCTATCAGATTGTTTAAGGTCAGAAAGATTGTTACCACTATGTGGCAAAATCAAATCTCTTCAAGATTTTCTATATTACAGAGAGATGTGAATTGGTACCACTTTTATGGAGGACAATTTGATGATATCTATCACATTTACAAATGGATTTTCTTTGACCCAGCAATTCTACTTCTAAAAATTTAATCTATAGACATGTTCAAGCATTTGTAAATTGACACATATACAAGGATATGTGTGGCAGCGCTGCATAAGCAAAAGATGAAAAGCATGAGCAAATGATGAAAAGCAACCTAACTGTCTGCCAGTACTGGACTGGTAAAATAATACTAAAGTCAAACAACAAGATACCCTTAGCCCCAGAAAAGAATGGGAATATTCTTTCTGAGCTGATGGAACAGGAGATTTTCCCTGATCACTTCACAAGACTCATGAAGGAGGTGACTAATTTACTCAGCTTGTAGCTCTCAACCCCTCACAGCGGGGAAGCATGCAGGTGAATGGGTGCAGGGGCCAGGACAAGTACTTCTAGGTGATGGCAGAAACAGAATTCTGTATGGCCCTGTGGCAGCATCTAGGAGGACACTCACGACCGGCAGAGCTCCAGAGGAGATGGGTTACTGTGTTTGCTTTAGCTTTGCTGTCTGTGGACAGCCTAAGTGTTTAACAGCTCAGTTTAACAACTGTCTGTATCCTGAGCTCTTGTTCGGTGTCAGGAAGAATCAGGTCACACAAACAAGTTGAAGATGGGAAATGTAGGAGATTTTATTGCTAATGAAAGTGGCTGTCAGTGGGATGGAGAGATGGAAAGACGATGGAGTGGGAAGGTGGTCTTCCCCTGGAGTTTGGCCATCCCTGGTCGAACTCTTCTGAGATCCCACCGTCAGGCTGTCCCTCTGAAGTCAAACTGCTTCTCTCCAATATCTCCCCTTCTCTGCTGCACCACTCCAAGTATAGGCTGGGGTTTTTATAGGTATAGGATAGGGGGCGGGGCAGGCAAGGGTGGTTTTGGAAAAGGCAACATTTGAGCAAGAAAACAAGAATGTAAACTTCTCATTTTGGGCTGTAGGTTCAGGCTTCAGGGTGAGGCCCTAACTGGTGACCGCCCTCCTCTACCCAACATTTCCCTGCCTCCTGTCCATATCACTGATATGGAATGATCTCCAAGATATATTGCTGGGTGAAAATAAAAACAGGGTACAGGACAGTGTATATAGTACACTATTATCCACAGAAGAGGGGGAGATTATATATTATATCTGCTCATATATGCACAAAATATACCTAGAGAAATAGATCAGAAATTCATTATTATTATTATTGCTTGTTTTCTTGCTTCCTGTCTTCTAGAATGTCAAGTTGGAGGACAGAGAGATATTAGCACAGCTTTGTTCACTACACCAATTAGAGAACCTGTTACACAGGGAAGG